CGACTCAGAAAGTCCGCTTGCAGGTTGTTGATCCCCGAAATGTGTTCCGCTTTGAGTGAGGCTAGGTTGGACTCCACCCAGGTGAGGAGGAGACGTGCCTCGGTCACGAGTGATCTGGACCTGGTACCCCCCTGACGGTTGATGTGTGCCTTGGCCGCCACGTTGTCCGTGAGGACTAAAACGTGCCGGCCTTGAATACTGACGCTGAAGTGGTGAAGGGCAAGACGGATTGCCCGTAGTTCCAGCCAATTTATGCTGTTTCATAATTCCGAATGGAACCAACGACCCTGCGCGAAGTGAGGTTGCAAGTGGGCTCCCCAACCGTACAGACTGGCGTCTGTCGTGATGGTGACGCGGTCTGGTTCCTTGAAGAGTGACCCCTTGGTCACTGCCCGAGAGAACCACCATCGAAGTACCCTGCGGATGTGTATGGGAACCCTGACTGGTTGGATGGATGCGCTGGTATTCTTGCGCTGGAAGGGAAGGAGGAACCACTGGAGGTCCCGCAGGTGAAACCTGGCCCATGGTACTATGGCTATGCAGGAGACCATCTTGCCTAGTAATTGAGAAAGTAATATTAGTGGAACCGTGTGTTCCCTGTATACCTTGCGAGCCAGTTCCCTATCCGCTCCTGGGAGAGGTACACCATGCAGTTGGAGGTGTCTATGATGGCCCCCAGGTGTAGCAGCCTGGATGAGGGAACTGTCTGGCTTTTTGGGAAGTTTACTGAGAAACCATGTTGCTGAAGAACGCGAATGGTGACTTTCACGTCTTCCTGGGCTGTCTGAAATGATGATGCCTGGATCAAAATGTCGTCCAGGTAACACTGTACCCGTATGGGAATTTTCCTGAGCGTGGCTGCTATCACGGTTAGGATTTTCGTGAAGACTCTGGGTGCTGAGGAAAGGCCGAAGGGAAGTGCTCTGTATTGGAAGTGCTTGCCTTTGTAGCAGAAGCGTAGGAAGCGACGGTGAGCCAGATGAATAGGAATATGGAGATATGCTTCCGTGAGGTCTATTGACGCCAGGAAATCTCCTTGTCTGATGCCTCCTAGAATGGACTGAAGGGAGTGCATCTTGAACCTCTTGTATATTATGTAACGGTTGAGATGTTTGAGGTCCAGAATTGCTCTCCATCCTCCCGAGGCCCTGGGAACCACGAAGAGGATGGAGTAGAACTCCCGGCCCTTGAAATCCGCCGGAACCAGTTCTATAGCCTGAATGTCTAGGAGATGATGGATGGCCTCCTGCATGAGCCTGTGTTTGATGGGATCCCTCGAGACTGAGAAGGTGAACCGTTCCGGGGGTGTGGCCAGAAACTCTAGGAACAAACCGGACTGGATGGTCTGAAGTACCCAGGCGTCCGAGGTGGTTAGCTCCCACTGATGAAAAAAGTGGGTCAGCCTTCCCCCAATGGGAAGGTTGGGATGGGAGTCACTTGGACTTCCGATAGGTGCGGCCTGCTCCGCGAAATGGCCGCTTGGAATGGCCCTGTTGCCTGGATCTAAATCCCGGTCTGTCATAGGGGCGGTCGTAAGGTTTGTCCTGTCTGGGAGCATACGACCTGGCAAACTGGTTGGAGGTTGTGGAGGCTGTTTGGCGAAAGGACTGCCTCCTAAAGTAAGGCATGGTGCGCTTTTCAGGTTTTTTGATTATGTGCACCATGACCTTGCGTTTGTCCTTATTCTCCACGAGATAAGGAGCCAGAGCCTCCCCAAACAAATCAGTACCCAGGTAGGGAGCCGTCGCTAAGCGCCACTTAAGTTTATTATCGGCCTGCCAGTGTTTCAACCACAACATCCTTCTGGCAACGATATTGGATGCTATGGCCCTGGAGGAAAAGGTGGCCGATTGGAGTGTTGCATCCGCCACATACTCCGTGGCTGCAACCATCTTGGCAAGGTCTTGGTGGGTCCGGACATCCTCGGCCAGAACTCTGGCCTGAAGTTTCTGGAGCCATAATAGAGTAGTCCTAACAAAAAAGGAAGCGCATGTGGCCGTTTTAATGCCCCATGCAGCTGCCTGGTGGGTGTTTGTTCCCACCTTTTGTCGTCGGCTTTGAGAGCCTCCGACAAGTCTCCAGCTATGGCTGTCTGAGACACTAGGGATGTCCAGGCTTCATCTACCTTGGGCACCTCGAGCGCGCCAGTGAGATCTGCGGAGGTGTGAAAAAGTCTTTTGTCCGTTCCGCTTACTGAAGGGAATGAAGAGGGAGAAGCCCAAGGCTTCTTGATTTCTTTCAGAAAGATTGAAGGGCACGGAACGTGGTGTTCAGTTGCTACCTTTTCAAAAAATATAGGTCTGGGACTGTCGTCAGTCACTGTCTGCGGCTGGGGAAATTGGTCTGATCCTATGTTGGCCGTAGAGGTGGCCTTACGTAGGATGGTCAGGAAGAGATTGGGGTTGAACAGCCCCCCTGATGGGGAGGGGTCTGGAGGAGGGCCCTCATCCTCTGAGAAATCAAATTCCGGTTGTTCCTCACCCTGAGGAGAGGAGTAACCGCTCATGGAGGATTGAGCTGGGGATGTTGGCTCCTGAATTGCAGGAAATTCTATGGGAGGCTCGTAGGGCGGCATGGCCGATGTTGAGGCCTCCTGATCCGTATGGATTGAACGCTGTGCTAGTGCCCGGTCTACGACCTTGGCTAGCAGCACTTCAAGGCGGCCGTCAGAGAAGATGTCTCCAATGCCCGGTCCCGTGACTCCAGGAGGAGAAGGGAGTGGGGCAGATTGTGGGGAAGGGCCCAGCAGAGATGTTGGCTGCTGGGCTGGTGCGGAAGGAGTCCCTGGGATTGACCATACTCCCTGAGTGGATGAAGAGGGACCCAGGGGTAGTGCAACCTCGGTGGCCACCAAATGATCTATGTCCGAGTAGGCCTGCCTCTGCGCTCTGGAGAACTCCTTCTCCAGAGCCTGGTGCCTACGGCTGGCTTGCTTCTCCGCCAACTTGGAGGGCTTCTTGAGCGTATGCTTTGTCTTGGATTTACACTTGCCTGCCGCCTTCTGTCCAGAAGGGTTAGTGCAGCCGTCATTTGGGGATGGAGAGGGCGTGCCCATGGCCTGAGGCAACGGTGATCCCTCCATCCCACTAGAGCAGTCCCAAAAGGAATGGGAGGAAGCTCTGGCAGACAAGCAGTTGGGAGCGAAAATTGGAACAAGTACCAAAGACTGTTCCCCTGACCACCCAATAAATTATCTCTCTGGGTCACTGGTCACGGTAGGTGAGGCAAAAGACCGAAGGCACGTTTGGAACCACTCTCTGGGCTCTGACCGGAGGCCTTAGGTAGCCAGGCAGTGCGCACCAGCAATTACCAACAATCCCCCAAGGGACGCTAGGCCTAAGGTTACAGTTCAGATGGCGGCCAGACGAATGAAGCGGGATTTAAGAACCCCTTACCTATCCTGGGCGGCCTAGGGCTCGTGGCAAAAAATTCAAAATGGCCACCGCCGCCCTTAATAGGACTCTTTGGGCCTAGCAGAGCCACGAGGTCCCTAAAATGGCCGCTACCTCGTAGTGGCCTAGGTGGATCAAGGGCCCCACGTGGCAAGACCTTGCAGCAAATTGAAAAGGGGAGGGGATTGCTATTATTCCCCCCCTTGCTATGAAATTCAAGCGAGGCAGCCAAGAAAGGAATCAAAATGGCGGCCGCGGCTGTCCTCCTCCGAGGCACAGCCTCCGCGGCCCCAAAAAGGTTAATTAGGACGACCTTGAGGATAACGGGTGCGGCGGCAGCAGCCACGCCGAAAAACCGCGCTGTCCCTTTGCCCTGGATGAATAGGCAAAACAGGAGAGCTGGCTGGTTGTTCAGTTGAAAACGGCCATCAAAATGGCGGCCGTGAGTGCCCCGTTGTTCTGGGAGGCTCGGACGATCCGGATTCTGAAAGAATCCAAACGTTCGAGCCTGCCAGGCACCCTACAAAGGGGGTGCAAATTAAAGGAGGATGGGGAAAAAATGCAGCAAGCTGTCTCTGCTGCTGATTTCTTCCCCCCCCCCTTCGTTCAGGGCCTTGGGCAGGGAATTTGGAAACAATTTTCCTCCCCCCCACACCCCCACTTAAACGAAATGGGAAGGGTGTGGAATTAATTGATTTAAGGAGAAATAAAGTTAATGAAGCCAAATTAAAGGGAAAAGGAGAAATCCCTAAGGGTTCCAGTCCAAACTGGAAGCAAATTTCCTCCCCACTCACACCCCCACTTAATTTGAAAGGGAAGGGGATGAATTATTTTAAATTATGATACATTTGAAGGAAAAAACGAATTAAGCCAAAGGAAAAGGAGAATTCACCAAGGGCTTTCTGTCTAACCTGATATCTGCTGAGAGCCAAACCAACACACTACTATTAAGAGCTGAGACCAAGTTAAGACTGGATCTCTAGCAAGAGGGGGCGTGTCAACTTTGGCTACTTGGTCTCAAGAGCAGGCAGACCTTGAATACCCATTGGTGGATTCTCCATCTCCTGTACTGGAGAATGAGGTGGCTGGATGGAGTCACTGAAGCAGTAGGCATGAGCTTAAATGGACTCCAGAAGATGGTAGAGGACAGGAAGGCCTGGAGGAACGTTGTCCATGGGGTCGCGATGGGTCGGACATGACTTCGCAATTAACAACAACAACAACAAATTGTGATAAATTCAGGGTTTGCCATTTTGCACAATTGGAAGTTTGAATTCAAAATAAATATCCCATTTTGGATATCAATGTGAAAGTAATCTCACAGATATACAAATCCATATATAGAGTCTGACATAAGGAGAAATTAATTCTACAACAGATTTTGAATAGTCTAAGAGTTCCTGCAATAATACTAAAACAATCTGTAGAAAAATACTGAAGAATGCTTTATTATAGAAAAGGAATAACTACGCATAAGATGAATCATTGGCATATCTTTCTAGGCAATCAGAAAGTTCAATAACATCTTTAAGCAGTGCTCATCTTCTTGACCTTGGCAGTCATGTAATCTTAAGACAGAAACACATATTTATAATTTATATAACATACCTTTTCAACTGGCAGAAAATCATTATCTACTTCTATTGACCTTGGACGTAGCTTTATGGGTTTGTCCTTGAAAATGTCACCAAATCCAATCCCCTTGATTTTCTTGGGTTGGATTGTTGCTGCTCCATTAGCTCCTTCTGATTTTGTGCTACTTGAGTCACCACCATCACTTTCTGAGCCTGTAGTATCTCTTAAACCTGCCAGAGGGAAGAAAGAAAGAGAAACCTGGTTTTAAGATTATTTTTATAAGAGTACAATCAGCAAAATAAAAAAAAAAACCTCATGCACCAGATTAATAGTACAATACTGAAATTAATTTTAAAACTTTGTTCCAACTGACAACATAGCAACCAGGATCAGTTTTATTATGCTTATGGAGAACATACAATAAGATATGGATATACATACAAGGGGAGGTAGAAGAGAAATTATTTTATTTATTTATATCCCTCAGATACTTAGCAGTATAGAATAGCATTCTAAGATCTTTCACAGGATAATAGAGCTGGGTACAAACTGACTAGGATATAGTGAACCACTATTCTTAGAGGTTACACTCTAAAAGTATGGGTAACCACAGGAGAGCTTCAATTAAAAATCTCAATATGTGAACAAATTCACATAGCTTTTATAAGCTAAACAAATTAACCAAAATAAGCAGAAGTTATTATCAGAATCACCTTGTTCATATGTCATAGTACTGTGTTTCCCCAAAAATAAGACCAGGTCTTATTTTCAGGGTAGGCCTTACCTCACCTCTGGCATCGACAGCCCCACCCAGCCGGTCCACTTCTTCTGGGGCCGAAGTTCTGCAGCTGCATTAGGGCCTACATTTTGCAGTCAGGCCTTTCCAGAAGGCCTAAGCAGCCGAGTACCAAGCTATGGATCCAATCCATAGCTTGATGCTTAGTTGCTGAGGTCCTGCAGAACCAAGCTACGGATTGAATCCATAGCTCAGATCTTGGCTGCACAGGTCTTCTGGAAAGGCCTGTGACTGAGAAATGCAGGCCTGGCTGCAGAAGAGGCCCCAGAAGAAGTGGGCCGGCAAGGAGAGGCCTGGCTGCAAGGTAAGTGGGTGCAGGGTGAGTTGGGCAGCTCCACCCCCCACCCCAGCTTGATTTTTAGGTGTGCCTTGCCCCAAAACTAGGGCTTATTTTTGGGGTAGAGCTTATATTAGGCCCACCCCCCAAAATCAAGGTAGGGCTTATTTTTGGTGTAGGCCTTACTTTCGGGAAAACACGGTAGCTCTAGAAAATCCACAAAAAGACATCCATTTTTAAATAACCATGCAATGAAAAAAAATGGATATCTATCAGAAAATGAATAAAATGCTAAATCAGTTATGATTTAAAATATAGTTGAGCTAATCGACATATTGGGTCTTTTATATATATAATTCACAACAAGCCAATTATACAATAAATATGAAACATTATTTAAGAGAGAAATTATTTAAGACAGATACTGTAGAAACAGAAAGCAGAAGTTAATCAAATATGCAGTCAAGTGGACTGCATAACATTATCTCTGCCAACATATTGAATCAAATATCTACCTGAGAAAACCTTGTTGAAAAGTACATCCACATCCCTGCACAGGAATAAAATAGATTCCTGTCTGTCCATTAAACCAATCTGATTAACTTTAATATTCTCAGTGAAAACAAACTGTTCCATTTCTATTAATGCAGGAAGTAAGCTTGTTTTGCCTAGAAATCACAACTAATTTCACAAGGATACCTTACTGTGATAGCTGCATTACAGATAATTCTCTGAGCAAATAAACTCAAGATTTATATGATTTTTTTTGTCATAAACATGGATTGAAAAAAAGAAGGAAGTATTTTAATTTGGATACCAGTTTGAACCTCTGTTACTCTTATTGTCCAAAAATATTAAGTATAAAACATTAAACCTGAATATATTTGGAACCAAAATGATAGTTTATTGAAGAACTATTTTTAAGATCAAGGATATGATTATACATAGATTTTAGATAAGCAGAACTAATGATTTAATTTACAATCTACGACTTCAGATGAAGATACTATAAATATTCAAATAGTTCCAACAATAGAGTTATTAACAAAATATAGGTAAATTTCCTAATTTGTAGACTTAAACAATATTGCCCAACTTAAGGTTTGAGTTTAATACATTTCAATCTCAAAGTGAAGATTTTGCCTGTTCAAGGCCTAAAATAAAATACATGTGTTATTTTGACTATAGAACACAACACTTTGAACTAAACTTGGAGTGGCACCACAAGTGTTCTTTAGGTGCTTTTTTAAAAAAAGTATTCTGTTTTATTCCTCTTGGGAATTTTTCTGTAGGTCAGAATATATTACTCCACTTGCTCTTGCGGTCCTTACATTAAAGAGAAAGAGATTTGTTCTGAGTTGCAACTGTAGTAGGGTTTGGGAAAGAAGAAACCTTAGGCTGAAGGCAATGTTTGGTCTACCACTTTGGAAGAAAATGCAAAGACGTTTCTCCTGGGAGAAATGATATGAGGGCAGCTTTTTGTCACAGACAGGTCCATCACTGAGATCATTGATCTTTTGTAGTTCATCTTCAAGAATCATTATGAAATCTACTTTCAACTTTATTTTTGCCCTTTATAACTATGCCTTTACACTTTGCTGCTGTACATAGAATTGACTGGTTACAAAATAAAATTATCATATCCATTAAGAATGTGATATTAAGACATTACTTCCAACTTATGATTTTAAACTGCAAATGGCATGGGTATCTGACAGTGCTAATTGTTACTTTGGAAAATATGAGTGTACAATAATTCCGTTCAATCTCTCAAGCAGCCCTTTGGTTTATTGTGCATGCATATGAAAGTATGAAGGCTCTGTTGATGATAGTTGTGTGTAAATGGTAAATGGTAACATGAACAAAGAATTTGGGGAAGAAAAAGAAGGAACTTAATGGAAGCAGAATGACTGTAGGAGGAAACACTAAAAGAAGAATATACTTTCCTCAACAGAGTGAGTGTTAGTCAAGGATAAGAAAAAAAGATGCAGAAGCTGATTAGAACAAACTCAAAACAATTATATGTGTATTATAGAATTCCACATAAATGTGTGGAATGATAATGTTGTGGATTCAATCTGAAGAAGGAGCATGACACTGAAAAGAAGAACCAAGTTTTATTATAATAATTGTTGGGTGCCTCTTTACAAGACAAAGGAACCCTAACACTTCTAACACTTCAGATTCTAACACTTCTATAATTGGCACCTAGAGAAGGTAAGGGAAAAGAAACCCACTGCATTGTATATATGTTCTCCTTTAATAAATACTCCCACCTTTACCAGAGCTGTGCAACAATAAGCATTTTCAATATTCCCAATCATAGTCATGTGTGAACTGCTGATCAAAGCAAGTGAAAAATACTTTGAATGCATGTTCAGAAAGTAGAGTGATTGACTATAAGTGGAGAAGGGGCGTTGTCTTACCTGAACGTCTTTTCTCAGCATGATGATGGAGAATCCATGAATGGGTTTAGACTGTCTTCCTGCCCAATTAGACTAAGTCTGACAAACTTGCCACGCCTCCTGCTGGGCTAGAGTACCACCCAGTCTCAACGAAGGCGAAGCTATTGACAATAGTCTGACGTGTTAGCTCCCCTACCCTGACACAGGACCTGACGGACACTGAAGGGGCGGGTGTGGATTCTCCATCATCATGCTGAGAAAAGGCGTTCAGGTAAGACAACACCCCTTCTCCAGCATGAGGATGGAGAATCCATGAATGGGACATACCAAAGCTGCCCTGTCCCTATGGGAGGGAATTAGTCTGGGCCTGTGTCCCACTTGATAACACTACTTGCTGGGGCACTCTCCGGCCAAATGAAGCTTCAGTGGAGGCAAATTTATCCAGTTTGTAATGTTTCACAAACGGGGAAGGCGAGGACCAGGTCGCCGCCCTACAAATATCCCCAATGGATGCCTGTGTTGCCCACGCCGCGGATGTTGCAGTGCTGCGGGTGGAGTGAGCAGTGATATGGTTTGGAACAGACAGGGAATGCGACTGGTACGCTCTTGCAATGCAAGCTTTGATCCACCTGCCTATGGTTGAAGACGATACCTTCTGCCCCATGGAAGAGGGTTGAAAGAATATAAAGAGCGCTTCCGACTTGCGAAAGGCTGAAGTCCTCTTGAGGTAATGGTGCAATGCTCTGCGAACGTCCAAGGTGTGCCATTGGCATTCTAACTCGTGTGATGGGCGAGGACAAAAGTCTGGGAGGATCACCTCCTGCGCCCTGTGGAACGAAGTATTCATTTTGGGTACAAATGATGGATCCAAACGAAGGACCACCCTGTCCTTATGAAAAACACATAGGTCCTCTCTGACAGAGAGACCTGCCAGTTCCGAGATGCATCTAGCCGATGTAACGGCTACCAGTAAGGCCACCTTCATGGTTAAGAACTGTAGTGTACAGCTCTTGAGGGCTCAAATGGTGGTGAGGTAAGGGCCTGTAAAACCCGCGGCAGTTCCCAAGAGGGATAACAATGAACCACAGGCGGCTTGGTGTTGGTTGCTCCCTTCACAAAGGAGCGCACCATGAGGTGCTGAGCCAATGGCGTTGAATTGTCACAAGTAAACACCGTAGATAGGGCCACCACCTGCCTGCAGATGGTGTTGGGTGCTAAGCCCTTGTTGAGCCCTTCCAACAAATATTCCAGGATCTTCGGGATGGTGATGGCCGAGAGATCGAATCGGTTCCTAGTGCACCAGTGGCAAAATTTCCTCCACGTGGAGTCGTAAACTCTGTTCGTTGAGGGGCGCCTGGATGCCTGAATCATGGCGATTACCCCCATCGAGTAGGATTCCTGGGTCAAGAGCCGCTGTTCAAGTGCCAGGCGGTTAACTGGAGCCACTGAGGTTCTGGATGTTGCAGAGCCCCCTGGCTGAGAGCAATGCGACCTGGAGGAATCCTCCACGGGGGAGAGATGAAGAGACCCACGAGGTCGGCAAACCACGGTCGTCTTGGCCAGTGTGGGGCAACTAGTATCACCTCCGCCGTTCCTGCAGTATCTTCCGGATAACTGCCGGGAGCAGAGGGAGAGGAGGAAAGGCATAGAGCAGACCCTCGGGCCATGGACTGCGGAAGGCGTCCGCCTTCTCCGCCCTTGGAGATGGGAATCGGGAGAAAAACCTTGGGAGCTGGGAATTCGCCGGAGAGG